CTTATTTTTTTTCCCTCTGGACAATCATGCTATTGCTTTTTATATGCAAAATTTGCTAACAAAATTTCAAAATCTCAAGCATGAGTATTCATGGAAACCAAAGCTTAAACAGATCAGTAAACAAGAGAGACAATGACCTGATTTCCACCCGTTATAAATAGGACCACGCCTCACCCACAATGATTCTGTGTCAGTGCCTGTGGGTGATGACAGAACTTTGTAGTTCAGTAAATACACTCAATATATTGGAAGTAGGGTGGAATATGATTTAACAAAAGTCTCTTCAAGTAGGTCCCTGGCAAGTAGTACTTAAAAGAAGTCAGCTGAGATCATATCATATACATTAAATACTGCAAATTAAATATAAATCTTTCACCTAGCCAACGACATGGCCAGTCTCATTGTTCTGGTCATGATACCTTGGACAAATACTCCATAGCTTGAAAAATAAGATTTTTTTTAATTGCCTGAAGTTAGGCTTACATAGTGCAGAGTCCTGTGAAGACATGAACATAAGCAGCAATATAGCTTTGTTAATGGTGTTCCTGCTTGTGCTAATAAACACAGTAGTTCCCAGCTGAGCTATTTTTTGCCAATGAAAGTATTCTAGCTTCTTCAGAGTTAATACAGATCTCTTTGCAAAATACAATGTTATTCCTTGGAGACATACTTTAATATTTCTATATTCTTTTCATAAGTTACTGCTCCTGAAATGACAACATTTTTTGAGAGATTCAGAGCTCTAGTGTTTTTTCAAGCCCACCTCCTGAAAAAAATTCAGCCAGGCAGAGAAAAAAAATAATCTTCAAACAGCTAACATGAGCAGTCATGATGAAATAGCTCAATGTGAAGAGAAAATATTCCAGTATCGTGCTGGTTTTGGTGGTATAGAGTTAATTTTTTTCGCAGTTGCTAGTATGAGACTATATTTCGGATTTATGCTGAAAACAGTGTTCATAATATAGAGATGTTTTCATTATTACTGAGCAGTGCTTACACAGAGCCAAGGCCTTTTCTGCTTCTCACCCCACCCCACCGGTGAGTAGGCTGGGGGTGCACAAGGAGTTGGGAGGGGACACAGCTGGGACAGCTGACCTCAGCTGACCAAAGGGATATTCCATACCATATGACATCTGCTCAGCATATAAAGCTGGGGGAAGAAGGAGGAAAGGGGGGATGTTTGTCTTCCCATGTCACCATTACACATGATGGAGCCCTGCTTTCCTAGAGATGGCTGAACACCTGCCCGCTGATGGGAAGTGGGGAATGAATTCCTTGCTTTGCTTTGCTTGTGCATGCAGCTTTTGCTTTACCTATTAAACTGTCTTTATCTCAACCCAGGAATTTTCTCACTTTCACTCTTCTGATTCTCTCCCCCATCCTGCTGCGGGGGAGTGAGTGAGCGGCTGGGTGGTGCTTCGTTGGCGGCCATGATTAAACCATGACAATTATACAACAACTTCGCAAAAGGGCATGCTCTGTACAAGACTAACTTAGAGACCAGTAGAATGAAAATACCATGGAGATGTGGATAACTCAATCCAAACTTGAACTGGCAAGTGTTTGCTGGTCTTAGAAGCTTTGCAAATGGTTCTCTCATCCTAGCAGAATCTTTTGGTTATAAAACACCACATGAGTAATCATAGCAATTTTGGATGTCTTCAACCAGATCTAATACTGGGAAACTTTCCACTTGTGTACCTACATCAGCAAACTTACCACCAATACAACGCACAAGCATCCTGCTCCCCTTTCTTGTAAAAGGAAGAGTGAGAGGCCTTTTTAAAGGATTACTACATTTCAGAAATTACTATACCATGAACAGGTTGATTGCTCCTCAACAACAAACATTGCAGGAAAATTCCACACTGAAATTCACAGCCAAAATAGGAGACACAAGTACAAGTGTCTGGCAAAAAACTCAATCCTTAAATCTTATCGCATAAACAACTTAATTCTTTTTGTGCTGTGAACAGATGAGTGTTTGGGGAACAGGTTAGAATAAGAAACTGAAGTTATATTATTAACAAGCAGATTAATCATTTTAATAGCCAGAAACCTAATAACAGCAAAAGAAAATATTGATAGCTATGCTCTGATTCATAGCACATGTCAGAATAATGCTAGTGTGAAATAATAAAATGAAACTAAACAAATCGTCCTGAAGAACATATGTTTTACTCCTATGCAGTATTATTTAGTCTGTATTGTTAATCAAATTTGGCACATACATAATTTTCAACAGGATACACAAAGGAAAACAGGAAAAAACATAGATACTCTCCCAAGGCAGTAAAGGCAGGTATTAAAAATCCAACTTGTATACGATTAAAGATTGGTTTAGTAATTTTTTCCAGTATGAACACAATTTCATAAATTGCCAAACAGCAGGTACAAGTAAAAATCATATTTTCCACCATGAAATAAGAAGGCATGAGTGGATGAGCTCACAGAAAAACTTAATGCTGTGCCACTTCCTCTGAATAAAGATGGCATACTTCTTTCTTGGACTTCATTTATGTTCGTATTCATTCAGACCTTGCCCTTTTTATGAGATTTGATTAAGTGATGATAATTTGTACTACTGATACATAACAATGCATTTATATATTAAAGTATTTAAAACATGCTCTATATCTCACACATTACTGACAATCTTAAGGCAATTAAAAGCCTAACCAGCCCAGCCTTTTATGTAAACTAATGGCTTAGCTCTATATGCTATTTTGGGTCTTCTCAACCATCTAGTTCTCTTTCATTAAAAAAAAGAAAATGAGGAAAGAGAAAGAGGAAAAGAGCTGTAACTCTAGAACAGTAGGGGAAGAGTCTCTGAAAGTACACTGGCTATAATTTTATTTAACAAAGACTTAAAGGAAAAAAGGGAAATACTGGTGTTTTCAGTAAACCAAATATACCTTTAAGTCTGGTCAGTTTGTATGCTGGAGTAAATTAACACACAAAACATGGACCAAGTGTTTCACAAGTACAGCTTTTCTTCCCACCATTTAATAATGCAAACAACTGTTAGGAGTAGATGTAGATTTTATCTGCTTAAAAGGAAACTGAGCTGAGTTGAATAGACCTGTAACCTCTCCTGTAGGAAAAATGTTCAGTTTACAAACACGTTTATAGAGGGCTCTGTTTGTTTGTTTTCATGGAATGCTATGCAATCAGAAATGAAAGTCTTCCAGGTGACAAGGATAAACACAGCATAATCCTACTAAGAGATGCATGGAGATGTTTCTGTACACAATTACATTTTGAGTACAAATACTTCTTTCTATGTAATATTTGCATCAGAATCTGTAAGTAACTGAGTACAGATGGTGCATAAGGCTATGAAACTACAAAAGTTTTCTGTGGACTCTATATTAGCTACATGCACAGTGAGACTGAGTGCATGTGTTCTTAATAATATGGCTGAGTATAATACATAGTTTTATGACAATTTATTACTGAATATTGAATTTAAAATGGCTTAATTCCGAAACAAAAAAAAATTTGAAACTTCTTAGACATTGCACATTGAGATTAGCAAAAGTAAATTCTTTAAGTTCAAATACATTATGCAGTTTTGAACGAAAGTGTGATAAATCCACTTTATCATTTGCACACCAGTCTGATTAACCAGTCACCCTAATAAAAACCTTAGCTCTGTGAAAAGCACGACTGTAATTTTAAGTGCTAAGTAGAAATTACTAGCAACACAGTAAATTAATTAAATGTCTTTTTCTGAAAAGACTTCAGATTTCAAATCACATCTGATACTTCCAAAATTTGTTGGCTTTTGATATTCAGCCAAGATGAACAAAGTTTCCTCTGTATTTCGATTAAAATTTCCAGCATTGCTTCCAGCGCGGCCGTGTAGGAAAGCGTCACTTACCAGAACTGACCACAAAGTGGTGCTATTTGAACAAAAATGGATCTTATTTCGTACTTAAAAGGGTTGGGATGTGCTGAACAACTGTGTAATAACTTTTAGTTTAACAAAACAAAAACCACAACAAGCAAAAGAGCCAGGTTTCATGTGAATTGTTGTCAAAACTGGCTGATGACAACATGAAGCCCAGCTGTCCAGAAAAAAAAAAAAAAAAAACAAAACAAAAAAAGCAAAACCCAAAGCACAAACCCCAAAACATTTTCTTTTAAGCTTTTTAAGCTGTCTAGCATTGGAACCTTACAATAGTGAGCTTGCAAGAAAACCATGACAGTTGTAAAGAGATTAAATGTACTGTGCAAGGATCTACACTGTCATTGAAAATCATTGCCTTAAGCTGTCTGGAAAGTAAATGCGTTGTATATTCACTTAGCATATCTTGCCATAGTAGATTTCAAAACTAAAATAGTAACAAACCAAAACATTTGTATTCAAACAATCACCTAATTCATTCAAACTATTCACCAACACCACATCGTTACTGTCATGAACTCATTTGTTGCGTTAAACTGATGCACCTCCTTGACCAACACAGAGCGTAAAAGATACGTGATTATAAATAAAGCTGTAAGACTATAGCTTGGCTCAAATTCTTGAATTTCAGCATCCCTCATTTGTGCAACTGAACCAGGAACAGAAGTACTTCCACGTACAACGATGCCTGGAAAGGCGTAAGCATTGAGGCAGGCCATCAGAAACCCCTCAGAGGGCGTGAGAAGATGAGGAGCTGCTTCGGGCCCAGCAGCATCGCTGCCCTCTCAGCACATCGCTGCAGGCCCTCAAGGGGCTCAGCCGAACCGCCCCAGGGAGCAGCAGGCCTCCTGCATTCAGAGCTGCCGTCTGACTGGGCAAAGCCACAAGGGAGTCCCAATGGCGGCTTCTACTCGCCGAGGCCTTTCCCTGCTGGATGTCGGGCCCTCCCTCAGCGCTTGGGTCAGAAAGAGCCCGCCCCCTGCCTCCCGCTCCCACCCGCTCATTGGCGGGCTCTGCCTCCCCGCGCCCAATCGCTAGCTAGAGTGATCGCCATGGCGACAGCGGACGCCGTGCAGCCTGGGCGGCAGCCATGGCCGCCTACAGACCCGGGGTGCTCATCGGCAACTGGAACGAGGACGCCTGTTTGGAGGAGGTAGGGATGGAGCCGGCCCTTCGCTCCTCTCTGCCTCTTCGCCTCACCGTATTTCCCCCTAGTTCTTTAAACTCACTTTAAACCTGAGATTGTGAGCGCTGGATAACATGTCTGCCCCCTCTCTCCTTTGCAAGCAGGATCGCTTGAGGGATTTTATGCATAAAAGAGAACGAGGAGAACTTTTAATACAGAAAATAAACAAACTTCAAGATAATCTTTTGAAGAAGGTAATTTTTTAAGAAGGTTATGTCAATCCTCTATGACTCCACCTAGAATGGCATAGCTGTTATTAGTGTTCTTTATGCGTTAAAAGTGCTATGGATTAGCATTTTGTGTGCTAAAATACTTCTGATATTAAATTCAGATAATTCTGCAAAAATTATGCATATTTTAATTTAGGTACAGCTGTCAGTATCTAAGGATGGATTTGTTCATTTTGGAGACACTGTGATGCTTTTGAACCCAGACAACAAATCCTCAGAGAAGAATTGCCCTGGAGCGTGCATCAGTCTGACTTTGGCGATTAATCTGGATGAAATGTCCATATATTCGGCTAAATCATTGCAAGCCCCTTGTGGAGTTAGTGCAGCTGAAAGCGTGGACCCTGTGGGTCAAAACACTTTTTGTATTTTAAGGTTTGGTACTTTATTCTGAGTTGTTTTTAATTATTATGTTAGCTTTCAGTATCTTGCTTTGAGAAATACACAACGGAGTTTCCTAATATACAAATGAATTCGAGTAAGGTTAATTTATTTAAGAGTCTTTAACTTGGGTCATGCATTAAGCTTGATTCTGCTCCACACATTACTGTGAATAATTCCAAGGAAGTTTAAATCAGCTTAGAACTGGTGTGAAAATAGAATCGAGTTCACTGCATCATTTGGTAAACTCTGCAGCTGTTTTTAATACGTTCGTATTTCAGCCGTAGATTACAAAACATGTCCGAAAAGCACTTAGTATTATTATTCATTATCCTGCAAATAAGGTCTCTGAAGCAGAAATTTGTGTCAATGCTTTTGCTGTATGTGAAGTGGACAGTGTTTCTGTTGTCCTAAAAAACCCCCCTAATCCAACAGCATATTCTCCCTCTCGAAGACATATGTAATTCCAGCTGTTTGTGGGAGAGGAAACAGAACAGCAGGGTCCTGCTCAACAGCGGGAGGCTCTGCCCGAGTGCATGTACGTAACAATAACAGTGCAAACTAACCCAGGGAATCCTGATGGAGCAAAACACTTTGGGTTAGACCTAAGAAAGGATTTTGATGCCAAGAGCATAATTTAGGCCTTTTAGAACTGCAGCCAAAATAATTTTGCTTCATTGCTGTCTGATCTTAGAGTCGTCGGCACTGAATGCTATCAAGTCGCTCGTTAACCAGCTACTAGGTTGATCACCTAAGTCAGTTTTTTTATGCTGAAAATACTTAGAAAGCCTAGCACTTACATCAGTGATTCTCTAATGTCAGGTACAGAAATTTTTCTGGAAATCAGGATATACCAGGATGTATATTGATGTAATGAACCTAATTATTTAATATCATTTACATATATTATTAGCAACATATGTTAAGTTACAAGCACAAGCACACACTATACTGCTTTTAATCTGTGATTTTTCAGATGGTTGCATTAAGTGTATTTTAAAGGGACCCTCAGTGCTGAATTCTGATTGATTTTTCATCAGATGTTATCTTTCCAGCCTGCATGTTAATATGTTATAAAAAGTAATCAGTCCATTCTGTTTCTATCCTGTTAAATATTTTAACCAGTAAGTCAAGTACGAAATGTCTTTTTGGTTAAGATATTTTACTTATTTTTAAAGGTAAACTTAATGCAAAGTGTTGCCACCGAAACAAAAAGAATAATAAAGCTGATCATTTGAATGTCTCTCTCTTCCTTTTTACGATTTTAACAGTGTTGATGGAGGTGCAGGGAGTGAACCAATTAGATTTGGGCAAAACTTTGTTCTTGGGACAACAGGAGGGTTTTCTGACCAAATGGTAAGGCAATAAAGTTGCAAATGGCAATGGTAGCATATACTGATAGTATGCATTTAATTACTATATGTATGTGTATATATATATAAAGCTGCACAGTGGTTCAACATCTTAGCTTTCCCGAACAGATTCAGAATCATACATAGGTCAAGATAAGCAATACCTGTTCAGAAAGTTTGTGCAACTTGCCTGAGATCAGGTGTGCAGGCCAGGGGAGTTTTAAGCCAGAATGACTGAATAAAGGAGATTTTTAAAAAGAGAAGAAAAAAGGAAATTAAAATTAGCTTGTGAATCATGAAAGAATTCATCATTAGAGGGAGGTTGGGGTTTTTTTTATTTATTTTATTTTTTACTTTAAATAAATCCAAAATGAGAAGATTTCATTTCTTGTGAATCTATAGTAGGTATATGAAGTAACATACTATCCTATCATTCTGAGGGAGCAGGTTTCTATTAAATGTTAATGTTGTTTCCCTCTGCAAGTTAGAAGCAAATAAGACATTATATGTTACATATGCACTCAAAATAAATCACCACAACTTTGAAAAAAATTTTCCTCTCAAGAACTACTTTGGTGAGAGAAAATCTTTGGAATGTAAATTCAATTTTAAATTAGTATTCACCACTCTGCCTATAGGATAGCTACTTAATGAGCTTATGAACAATATAGAATCTATGTAATGCATTTTGTCTGTGTAGCTTTCGCTTGGCAGACTGATTTTTCAGGAGCCGAGAGAAATTTTTTTGTGTTGAAAAATATTTTTAAAAATTCATATCTTGTTTCTTTTTCTATTTGCATACTGTCCTTATTTATATATTTATATACTGTCCTTAATATGTATTTTTATTTGCAGTTATATCTAGCAAGTGACCATAAATCATTTACAAGATTTGCTAAAAAATCTTACCTTCAGCAAGTATTTTTGACAGATGAGCTTTCCTATTTGACTTGCTGGCAAGCTACCTTCTTGGATCCACAACTGCGTCTCGAATATGAAGGATTTCCAGTTCCTGTAAGAAATTAAAACTGTAAAAAAAGTTATGAAGATTTAATTGAAATGGTAGATGGTGTACTTAGAAAAAAGTTGTGTCCAACTTATTCACATATTTTCTTTATGCAGGTTCTGACCTGTAATTTTAGGAAGGGGGAGAGGGGAGGAACAATCTCGTTAACCAGGGAATCTGCAAATACAACTATTAGGTTCTGGTATTCATTTTGAGGTTGACTTGCTCAGTTTTTCTCATCACATTTTTTTAAAGGTCAACATTATCATGTTGTGAGGATGCAGTACTTGGAATCTGCTTTTCAGGACTTCTAAGCACTAAATTCCATGTCCAATATTAGGACTTGTGATTAAGAACTCCTGTACATTAAATTTAAAAAAAAAAAATTAAAAAAAAAAACCCAAGGCATCTGAATAAGTGGATGCTTTTCCAAATGTGGCTTTTAACCTTCTGTAAATACATTAAGCAGATGCAGTATTTTCCTGTTCCACGTAACTGCTAGGCTTCCTGAAGTTCTGGGTATATAGCAAAATATCACAACTACAACCGTTCCTCTGCAGCCTTGAACTGTGACTCATTTACACAGAATCAGCTCGCTAATAAACACGGTCAAAATCATGTGATTGTCAAAGACAACATTCTTTATTCACAGTATTGGCAAATGAGGGTGCCTAAAAATTAATTCTGTTATACATAAAAAAAATACAAAAGGTCCATTTCTAGGCTGTGTCCCCAAACCATCTGGATCTCTCATATGGCAAATACCAATTGTAAGCGGAATTACCCTGATGGCACAGGCCACTGGAATAACTCTCTACTACTTGCTTGGCTTTTTTTTTTTTTTTAAGTACCCAGCACAATGGAGTGGAATGGAATGTATTGGACAGGAGAATGTGTCTGACCTGAGGGCTAAGCATTTGGCTGGTCTTAGCTATTAAGACAGTTGTGTCAAGAACTGATAGGGTGTAAAATGTCTCACTATCAATGTGCAGTGGTGTCAGAGCGATACAGAGCAATGCGGGTTTACACTAAGCAGGAAATAAAAACAGTTCGTTTGAATAAGAAAAGCTAGAATTAGTGTAAAAATGTCTGTCAAGTGTCTTCCCTTGTTTTTTTCCAGGCAAACTCTAAAATTATTATTACTCATTGCCGTACTAATCGGAGCTTAGCTGTTCCAAGGAACTTTTGGACAAGGTAAGAATAATTTGTAACTGGCAGGGATGTACGTAATGATGTGCCAACATCAAGAATTACTGTAAGAAGCAAGATAGTTGCTTTAGGAACGCACTGAGGAAATGGAAAAGAACGCAGAATGCACATTCTCCTTTCCCTTATTTTATTTCTGGGCTATAATATGTGCCACTGAGATGCTGCAGACAATCAGCTCAGTCTTATTTGTGTTTTTTTTTCTTTTAAATTCATATCATATCATGCGTCTAGCCTTTTCTAGTTTCTTGGTGGTTCTCCCTTTGAATATCTTGAACAACTACAGTTGTTCGGGGGTTTTTTTTAAAGAAAAATTGGTATACTAAGCAGTGTAAGGAGTAATAGAACTAAATACAAACACACTGTATAAAACTGTATGTTGCTCATGTCCATATGAATCAATCCCTCAACAAACTGAAGTTATTCCCGCAATTCAAGTTCATATGTGTGCATTAAATTAACATTGATTAAGCATTGTTAAGGGGTATACCAATTGTTTCCCATTAAATTCTGAGCAAGATCTGACTGAGGATTTGTATCAAGTTTTTGAGGATGAAATGTGCTCTGAAAGTTTGAGGCTGAAACAGTTATTAAGTAGCCAGAGTCTTCCTCAGGCAGACAGGAAAGGTGATGTGAATGATGACTAGAACCTAACCAGTTTGTTCATGCCGAGCTGGTGTATCGGTGTCTTATACTGACGGGGCTGCTTTAGCTCTGAAGCTAGAAAGATGGTGTTTCCCTTTGATTTTAAATTCCTGAATTATTCATAAGAAACAAAGTGGGCTATTGTGTTTCTTGTAACAGTCTGATATTTAAAAGTGCATAGTGATATTTCTGAATAAGCCAAGAGAAACATGAGAAAATCTTGAACAATTTACAGATAATGCAGATTTGCTGAATTTATGTTTATATTAATTCCCTCTGCCCATCCCCTTTTCTTTGACTTTGCAGGTCTTATTTTGGAAAAGAGTATGAAGTAATTTGTCACACTTATCTGGACTCCCATAAAGCTGAAGAAGATAAGAATTACTGGGTAATAGTTACAGGAAATCCCAGTGATGAGGGTGGTACAATGACTGATAGACCCAACCCTCACCCAGGGGGGGATCAGAAAGAATGAGTTTTGTGAAGAGACATAGAATATAAAATTCCCAGACTACAGCTGACAGAAATTGATGAGATTCTGATTGTTGGGTTTTTTCTGTTCAAATTTTAGTTTGAGAGATGTTTGTTTTAAAAATGGAAATTAAATTCTACCACTAGTAATATTGCATAATCACATTAGCTCATCAAGGTTATACAGTGGGCAAAAACTAATAAAATTTGATGAACCATGCACAACATCAAAAATTCATGAATCAGGACGGGTTCATTTTCCCATTTTCACCTTCACTAATGGCAAAAGATGTTAGAATCCAGAAAATCTAATATATTTTCACTACCTTACTGGCCTTCAGAGTGCCTTTAAACAATTCTTCCAAAACCAAACCAGTGTCACACTTTTTAAAAGGATGAGTGTAGAGTTTCCAAAACACTGAAAACCAAACTCATGCAAGTTGTCATGGGATACTTTGGCATTTAAAGTTCATCTGAAAGAAATTTGGTTGTTAAGCTTGTTCCACACTCTAGCACAATGTTCCTGATTATTGAAAAATCACCAGTGAAGTCTCTTTATTTCGAGATTGGTGTCAGATTTATGGGAATTAATTAAAAAACATACAAACTAAGTTTTTTGGCTTTGTCCATGTACTCTAAACATTTAAATGCCAAGTAATCAAGAACTTGAGCACAGTGATACAGACTAGAGACTTCCAACAGCCTTATCTATGCCTCACCATGTTCCATTTGCTTCCCAGCCTCAGAATTTTTCAACCCAAAATCATTTCTACCAAGTCTGACAGCAAGGTAAAATTATTAAAGAAAATTAAGCCCCCACAAGTTTCATGAAAATAAATGGCAAAGTAGAAAAAGAGCAAGAGACACTGTAAGTTTATCCAATAAGAAAAAGATTGTAGTCTATGTTCATACCTGGTTAAACACCAGACAATCACCATGAAAAAAATGGCCCAAGAATGGTAAAAATTTCAGCTGGAACTCATATTTTCTTACACAACAAAATCAACCAAGCATGAGATGCAAAGACTTGGAAAACAGATGTCATTCCTTCATAGAGTTACCTGTCTTTATACGGAAGCTAAAACAGCACCACAGAGAATCTTCTTAATGTATGATATTGCATTATATCCATTTAGTAAAGCTACATGTATACATATTGCATTTCTTACTGTACCACAAGAGCAGGCTCTTTCTGCACAAAGTCAGTCAATTTCTGAGTAAAACACTACATAAATCTCCATTCTCAAAAAGGATTCCAAAGATCTTCAATGTTCATAAAGGTCAAATAAAACTTCTTAAGTTTTACCAAAACAAACCCATTAAACTTTCACTTTTACAAAAGAAGGGACCAATCCAAACATGTTGTGTCTTCAAGCTCTGTCCCAGATAGATCGTTTCAAACCCACTGGCAAGGCTTTAAAAGTTCTTGCCTTTATTTAGTGTAAGTTAAATCAGCAGACTGCAGAATATGCTAACTAGCACTTGGCATACAGGGTCTCAGAGCAGGAGACAGATTACAGTTCTGTGACATGCGGGTTTGCTTTGGGGGAGTGTATCACAGAGGACAGTTTTTGAATCACGCTGCTCGTGTGCAAGCCTTCACAATCTGTTACAGATGGGGTACTGTAGAGGAAAGTATCTTTAGGAACTTTTTCTTTCACTTTCTATGTAAAGATATGAAACCTGACGTGTGGCAAGCAATGTATGTTTTTATAGAGGCACTGTTATTACTCCACCTTACAGAGATTAAAATTCTGGACATTTAGATTGACATAATCCTGCTTTGATTTTGTAGGTATTAAACTAGAAAAACTTAGGCTGTGTGAGTGCACCGCAGTGTTTCTAATTTGACCGTTGTGGACACTTATTGGTATTAGGGATAGCTGTTTCAAATCTGGCAAAGTCTCTTTCCTCTGGGTTAAATGTAAGAAACAAGAAGAGGCCTCAAAACAAAACTACTGCTGAAACAGAGCTTCATGTGAACTCACGCAGGAATGAGAACTGTGTGGGCAGATGCCTTGGCCAGTTAATGTTATGTATAGGAGTGTTTGTGCGAGTGTGCGCGCATTTGTGTGGGAGAGGAGCAATGCAGGCTGTACAAAAACAAGTTTTGTAAAGTCTTAGAGGAAAACCAAAGAGATAAACAGATACAGAAATGAGTACAAGAGTGGGTAATGTTGGAATTAGGGGCTGATTAAAAGTGGCTTCGAGACTCTTGTGTGTGTTTTGTTCAGTCTGTGCTCATGAGAAAGGACTTCCTGAGCTCTTGGAAAATAAACAGGATTGAATCAACAATTCCTGATTCCATTATCAGTTTTTCTTCTTATCTAATACAGTTTTAAACCCACAGATTTGTGCATGGCTCATATAATACATATTTATAATTCAGCTGATTCATGATATTGAATACAGATATTTATCTGTTACCTAGTTTTTCTTTTAAAAACTGTTTTTTACACTTCTTAATATTGTCCACATGATGGCACCACATTTTTCTAAACAGCGCAATTATTGCTGTAAAGTATGTAAAACAACCTGAAATGTTTAAATCCAAATGAGTTCTCGATACAATGCCACAAAAGCTAACCAAGTTAAATCAGGCTTGAATTCTGGGCTAAATGTCATTAATGTTTCATCATCGTTTTGAAAATTAAGTTAAGCCACAAAGGCAAATAGAAGAACATAGTACATTGTGTATTGCATACAATCAACTTCTTAAAGCTAATCAGAATATTGATTAGTTTGTAACCAAAACATACTTCAAGGAAATTATCTTTAGGAGCTTTTTCTTTCACTTTCTATGTAAAGATATGAAACCTGATGTATGATAACCAATGCATAATTTTATACAGACATTGTTATTACTTCAACTCATAGAGATTAGAATTCTGCACATTTTCACAACAGATTGACATAATTCTGCTTTGATTTTGTAGGTACTAAACTAGAAAAACTTAGGCTGCGTAGAATGCACTGCAGTATTTCTGATTTGTGGACAGGATTGATAAACATAGGATTTTATATAAAGAATTATGGGACTGAATATTATCAGAATATATTCAGCAGATGCAGCAGAATCTGAACAATCCTGCAACTACCAGTTAGAGAAACAATATGGTCGGGTGGATAGGGTAATGGAGATCGAAACCATGCTCCAAGCCTGACCCTTGTGTGGCTAAGGGCAGGTGCTGTGTTTTGCTTGTCCTAGTATTGCACATCATGAAATATAGACAGTGATGCTTGCCTCGTTTGCAAAGCACTTTGACATATACCATTGAAAAGCAAAATCATGTATTAAAGAAAGCTTTTAATGCTTCTTCCAAATTAGACCCAATATGCATAGCTCTACAAAGTACATTGTGGGAAGATAAAACTCATTTTGCCTCCATTCCAGGCCTCTCAAAAGCTGTTAGCATGAAGCTGATCCTGAGCTATTAGTCCTTGCTGAGAGACAGGGTGCATTAGTTCAGATTTAGTGCTGTGCTAATATAGCTTTTCATAGGCTTGAGGCACAGCAAGAACTCACATGTACACGTTTTGCTATGCAGACATATGTTAGCAGCACAATATTGAAGTAAAGAAGAGGTACAGAGAATTCCAAGAGTCAGCAAAGAAAAACATCATCCTCGTAGTAAACTCACACATTGGTAACACTGGAAAATGAAAATCCAGTTAAATCTGCCTTTTCACTTTCCCTTTCTTTTGAATGCTTCCCCAACTCATATTTCACATCACTTCTCTGCCATGTCATCTAGCCCAAACTTACTGATTTGCCATGGTTATAAAGTGCTCTTCTAGCACTCAGCACAAGCCCCTGGCCCCTCACGCTAACCACATCAGGACCTTCAGAGGCCACTTTTCTTTTCAGTGATTGTCATGAAGTATTGTTTTAGCTCAGACAGCTGATCAGAGGAGGCCATATAGAGGTTTAGTAACTGGATAAAACAGCTGAAAAAAAAAAAAGGCAAAAAAAAAAAAAAAAAAGCACAGAGAACATTACAATAAGAAATTCCACACAGCAGTGGAAGAAAATATCCAAGCACTGGAAAATTTGGTGGAGTTGGCAGGTAGGAGGTGATTTTGATAACATCTGTGCCCACTCACCCTATATTAATATTGCATGTCTGTTGTAATTGGGGGGAGGGGGAGGGGGAGGAGGGGAAGAGATATCCTTTTAAAACCATAGTTGTTACTTTAGAAACACTTAAGTCTTTTTAATGCATGAAAAATAAACTAGGGGGGCCACAAAATAAAAATACAGATGTGAAATGCAAAATACATTAAATACAAGTGGAAACTGGGAAATCTCTACATCATTTTGTCAGCTACACCTCCCTTCTGTTCTGTTTTAGGCTTTGTGCCAGGTCTTGCCTCCATTCTCTGCCTGACCTGCCTTATTTCCCTGCCTGTATACAGCACAGAGAGGGGCAAGCCACAGTTTGCTAGCTCCCCTCTTCATGCTGGTTTGACTTCATCTTGGAATCTAATCCCCAATACTGCATTCCCCTGGGTAAGAGGAGGAATGGAAAGACCTGTCACCTTGCTGGGTGTGTGCTATTTCAGCAGGGATATGAGCAGCCATAATAAAGCCAACAACATGATTTGCATGATAGGTTAGCATTACTTATAACGAGCGGGACAGGACAACTTGCCGTAAAGACCAAGGGAGACCCGCCCATTTTGGTTGGTTTGGTTTGGGGTTTTTTGTCAACACAGTGTATGGAGGGTGTGTAATGAAACAATTGACACTTCATTTTTTTTCACCGGTGGGCTTTTGCAAGGCAATGTCTTTTATACCACAGAACAGAATCATCAGTACTGCACTAGAAAACATTGCTGCAACAGAGTCACTTAGCTTTCTCTCAAGAAGTTTCTATATTTTTTTGGCAAGGAGAACTCAAAGTGCAGTAGAATAGGCACAAACATTAAAAAGTGCCTGATGACATTTATACCCACATTTGATGATGAAATTAATTCATACACATGCATCTCTGCTGTGTGTTTATAGGAGAAGCTCAGAGAGCTAATTTCCCAACATCTGTTAAATGGT